GGGCGGGCCTGCGGGCGGGGGGGGGTCCGGTGGGAGGAGCCGCTGGGGGCGTGGCTAGGTGGACACTTCTCAGACTGGCACCTAGCTCTGGCCCGAACCCGCACGCCCCTGCTAGCGCCCAGGACTCCCAAATGCCCAGCCTGAGCTCACCCACCCTCATAGGGGTCGAGGAGGAAGCGGTCTCATCGAGGTCCAAGGCGTTGAGTAAAGAAGGGATGTCCCAGCCACAGCAGGCAGTCCTGGTCCGGGGGAGCCAGCTCCCCCTGCCAGAACCTGAGCCCTGTCTCCCGCCTCTGATGGTGCAGTTGGGTCTCCTGCGAGTGGAGACTGAGAGGTAACACCCCTCCCCCAGCTGCCCACTGCCCCGTGTGGGCTCCGCCCGCTCCGGCAGTCAACCCCATCCCATGTTTCTGCCCCCAACAGGCTTCGCAGGGTCCTGGAGGGGAAGGAGCGGGAATACCAGGCCCTGCTGCGAGGAGCTCCGCAGAGGGTGAGTGAGGAGACCAGGACTTGTCTCCCTGCCTCAGAGCCCCCAGGTGAGCAGGACACAGCCAGAGAGTGGGAGAGTGTGTGTGGGGGGTGAGGCAGCTACAGGGGCTCATCACCGCTCTCGCCCAGACCAGGGCCTGGTGCGGTGGCTTCGGAGACTGAACGTGGATCCAGACACCATCCAGACGGTGAGGAGTGTTCTGGTCCACTCTGACCCCCACGAGATGCCATTCCTGCCCACCTGTCAGCTGGCCTCACTGTCCCGCTTATGCAGAGGATCTAAAAACCGCAAGAGCACTTAGCATGCCCTTCCCATGCACAGATTAGGAAACCAAGGCCATGAACAGGCGTGTTGGTAGTGGCCGTGGCCAGTCCCGAGTGTGGACACACCTTCCCGTAACTCCCTTGTCTATGCTGGGCTTTGTCCACCATCAGCTGCTGAATCACAGCTTCACCCTCAATGTCCTGCTCACCTGTGCCACCAGAGATGACCTCGCCTATACCTGCATCAGGTACACCCGGGGCCTCCAGGGCTGAGTGACACAGTGGACCCCAGCCATAGACCTGCCTAGGTCCTTTCCTGGAAACCCGGGGAGAACCAGGGTTTCCTGGGGACAGATGGGCCTGGGGAAGCTGGTGGGTACAGACAGAGCCCACTGCCCCAGGGGAGGCATGACGTGCCACATCTGGAGAGCCATTGTGGCCCAGCGCACCGGAGCCACACCAGCGCCCCGGGGCCCCAGGCCACTGAATGACGGCTCGAGGCAGCTCTGCCCCAGGACTGGCGAACCACGAAGGCATAGCTTCTGACATGCCTCAGGGTGCACACCCACACTGGACCCAGCCTGGACACGGGTTGTGGGCAAGGACTGTGAGCACCACCAGCGAGGCCATTAAACTGAGCACTTCTGCACCCAGTTCTGTGTGTGGAGTCAGAAGTCCCTTCCTGGGCCCGCCACTGCCCATCACCTCCCCTCCCTGTCCCCAGCAGACACCACCCTCACTGCTCTTGACACATTTATTGACTTTAGCCCAGGGCAGCCCTAAGATGGGGGTCTGGAGAGAGGGGCTCACTAGGGCTGTGTCCTGGGGACCAGGTTGGTTCGGAGGGGCAGAAGGCCGTCCACCCACTCGCATGGCCGCTGTAGGAGTGTCCGCCACAGTTGTGCCTCCTCAGGTGTGGAGTCCATCCAGGGCACCAGGAGCCCATAGCTACTGCCTGTGTGTGGTGGGAAGGGTGGGGTGCACCACATGAGCACCTCGTGGGCACTGTGCCCAGGCACCCCCATGCCTGGTGGACATGAGCTCAGAGGCCATGAACTGGGCCCTCCCCCACTTACCTGTGCCCAGGCTGAGGCGTGTGGCTCCCAGCTGCCGGCTGGCCAGGGGCCCCTGATCCCAGAGGGAGAGTTCCGCGCAGGCCTGGTGCAGGTCCGTGGGCCCAAAGCCATCGTAAACCATGGTGTGGTTGAATGCGGGGCTGAGGCTGCGCCGTACCACCCTCGTGCGCTGGCGGCCAGCCTGGCTGTCATCGGGCAGTACTGAGCTGTGGGGCAGGGACTCCTCAGGAACCCTACGCCCTAGAGCCACCTCCCGTGTATGTCTGTGTCCCGTGGCTCCTGCCTGGGGGGCCTCGGACCAGCTTCCTCTGAGGCCTCCTGCTCTTCAGCTCCAGCTCTGGCCCAGCTGCAGGTCCAGGCCTGGCACCCTCTGCGAGGCTAGAGCTGCAGGGAGCCCTGGGCACTGCCCCATGCCCAGCTAGCAGGGCCCCTGCAACACAAAACCCTGTGGCCACCACCTGTGTCAAGGCACCTGTCTGTCTCCCCCCTTTCTTTCACTAATAAGGGAAAAACAAGCCTGTTGGCAGGGCCCAATGACACTGGAAACAATCTGGCAGCTCCGTGACCCTTGTCAGTCCCTGTCCTGCCACCCTCAGCAGTTTCCAAAGTTCTCAATGCCAGTTCTGCAAAATAAAACATGGCTCGGTACCTCTGAGATAGGCACATTGTCGCAATGGGTGGGGGTTTGGATCCTGCCTGCCCGGGGCAGGAGGGGGCGCCCAGCACCCGGAGGCACTCCAGAGGCCCCCTGGAGCTCACTCCCAGTCCAAGGCCCTGCCTGGCACCACATTCTCTACGGAGGGCTCAGCCTTGGCACTCCGGGGACAGGGTTCTCGGCCTTCCTACGCCTCCCCCCGCCACTCTCCCTCCCCCCGCTCAGGGGTGGAAGCCCAGGCTGGGCGAACTCTGGTGGACAGTGGGGGATCCTCGGGGCTGAGGGCTCTGCAGAGAGGAGGAAAGGGGCGGGGTGGGCCCTCACCACTGGACGTAGGAATCCAGGGCTCCTGAGCGCAGCGGCACGAGCTCCCGCGCCTCCTTCACCCAGAAGTGCAGCTCCCCGCTCGGGGGCCTTCCAGCGCCTGCTGAGAGTCCAGTTCAGGCCCAGCCCCACGGGCCTGCCCACACCTCTGGCGCCTCCCTCGAGCCGTAGCTCACCTTCGGAGCCGGCGGGGACATACTTGACCGACAGGGAGAGCAGCCCGCGGCTGGGAAGCCCGTCGGGGGACGGCGGGACCTGAGGGAGCGACGGGTCAGGGGACCTGCAGGGCCTGGGAAAGGGACCTCTGGGTCCGCGGGGACACAGTCGGAGGGAGGCTGGGCGGGACCGGGCGAGTTGCCGCGCCTCGCAGGGCCGGCTGCCTCACCCGAGGCTGCAGAGGGAGCCAGGTGGGCTCGGCGTCCCAGCCCCACGTGTCCAGGGGCACTCGGACCTCGCCCAGGAAGACGTTGCGGCCCAGGCTCTCGCGGTGCCACACGGACAGGCTGAGCACGCGACTCCGGAGCGCGGCCTGCGGGACGGGGTACTGCGGGCAGGCGGCCCTGAGCGGGGGACCCAGGAGCTCGGCCCTCCACGCTCGGCTCCCCGCTTCCCCGCCCCGGGCCGCCCCGAGGCGCGCCCCGCCAGCCCGGGGCCCG